TTGTCTCATGTCTCGACGCAGTTGGTGTGTCACGAACTCTGCTCCCGGCAGCCACCTGGCGAGCTGAAGAAGCCCGGAGCAGTCATTGACCTGGTTGGCTTCAGTGGGTCGCAGTTTCAAAGCACAGACGGAGCTAACGGTAAACCGGTCGCGTTACGTTACGTTACGATATTTATCGAAGTGGTGAGGGGGGGGGGCTGACGACGAAGACTGAGGGAAGACACGCGGTTTATTTAACAACGCTTCATCACCAACATGAGTTACAATTACGAACGCAATACCGCGGTCCAACTCAAAGTATTGTCATCAGGAGTGACTGAGGAAAAACATGATAAGATACCTCCTGAACTGCACGTTACTGTGGCGTTTTAATCCAGACAACAGGAGACGAGCAGAGTTGAATGTTGTCCGACGTTTCGGCAAACATTTCAGTTGCCATCTTCAGGGCGAATATGTTTATAAACTGTGAATATGGTAAATGCAGAATTTGTAGATTTAACAGCAACGACGAAAACACGAGGGCAAATTTATGGAGGTTTACGTCAGTACCCACAGTTCGAAGTCCAGAGGCAGTGGACCGTATCCTGCGCCAGATAAATCCAATCCCGATCATCGTAGTTTCAGTCGTAGGAAAGCAATTGTCCGCGAGTAACGGTTCCGAGACACGTTTATAACGGTCCTGATGTTTGTGCTGAGACCACAAACATGAACGCAAGTCGCCCGCAGAAATGAACTACAGCAGGGGTTCTCAACCAATGGCCCACTGATGTGTTTCGTGCCGACCGCGTCTCCGCGGATGACGAAAGATAGTTTAAACGCGTTTTCTGGCACGAAGGGTCACTGTCTTCAGTATTGGACAGTCTGCATCGCCCTTAGAAACTCTCGGATCAAAAACTGCTGATGAACACGTGGAGGCAAGCGTGGAGATCTCATCCAGTTCAAGAGCCAAAATAATGACTGATTCTGTCACAGAAAACTGTAATGAAAGATATCGACATGTTTCCAACAGTAAGTTAGTATCACGTTAAAAAAAACACTACCGTAGACTTTAAAAAAAAATGTTCTCATTTATAAACTTCCGGTCATTATGAGGTCACCCTGATGATGGAGGCAGTGAACAGCTCCGAAACGCCGTTCTCTTGTGCCAGAATACTCAGCGCGATATCCCATAAGACGTCCGGCGATGTTAAAGCAAGTGGCACGTACAGTTAATCAGTGTTTTAATGGTGTTTGGAGCAACCATTGTGTGAGCACGTGAAAGATTTTTCTTTTTACTGAAACGCGCATTGCACTTACACGGAACAATTACGTTCGCTTCTGACAGAATTTTCATGAATAATGCCCAAGGAAAGGAGACGGCACGGAGATCCTCATCGCCAGACTTCGCGCAACTCACAGGGGACAGACAAGTTGCCGCGATGACAGGGGCTACATTTTCTTCAAGTCCTTCCCACGTACGACATCCGAAATTACGAACTGCGCCCCTGACGAAACTGTGCGCTCTCCCTGCGTTACTACTTTGTTGGCAGAAGGAAAACAAACGCACGCGACGGACGGACGGACACAGGAATGGCACAAATGCCGACGGTCCTCAGACGCACGGACTCGCCCCGACGAAATCCGTGTTCCGCATGTGACGCCGGAAGATTTAATCAAAATCTGGCGAGTAGGACGAGGTTCTCACTGAAGATGGCTGCCTTCTGGGTTGTAGCGCCGTGAAGTCTGGCAGAAGATCACCGACGTTTCACATGTCCCTGCTGCCTCCATCATCAGGGCGTCTCTGTTGTTCACGCAACGTCAAGACGCAGTTGTACTGTTTGCTGACAGATGTCAGTTGTGACGGCGAAGCGAAGACAATTTCTGATTGCACTTTCCTGTACTTTAGTCGTGGGTGCGAGCCAAACGGACCTAAGTACCACACTTTACCGATCACTCTCGAGCCGCTGTTGCTCTCAGGAACTTGTTATGAACCCACCCAACCTGAAACATGGGCTGTAGAGGGAGGGCGGGGGGAAGGAGGGGTCGTGGAGGGACTCTCACGGCACGGAGCGGAACTCGGCGTTAGTCTGAACAGTGAGTGAGGAGTGTTTGCGTGTGAGGCGATCGGAGTTTTGAGTTACGAAGTATGATGACGGAGACAACTGTGACCGTGACGACGACCGAGGGGGCCCCCGGTCACAACGCGACGTCACAGCCGACGGTGAAGTCAGACCCTGGACAGGGACAGGGCAGCCTCGCCTGGATCCGACTAAACTTCCTCTACTTCCGGACTATCCCCGGCATACTAAAGCTCTTACAAGTGGTAAGTTGAGCGACCACATGTAGCTGGGAGAACGTTATCAAACAAACACGCACGTTCCTGAGGGAAGTACATGTTTCGGATTTGCGCAGTCCGTTCATGACTCGCGATAAATACGTACGCAGTACACTTTACTATCTGATGCTCAATTGGTCCATAAATTTTACTGGGAATGTACACAAAATTTCAATCGTAAAATCACAAGGAGAAAGGCCTCTTGGAAGACAGAATTTTAAATGAGACGATAATATTAAGGCTGATCTTTAGTGAATGGGGTGTGAGAAGGTTGATTGGATTCATCTGGCTCAGGATTGGTTTTTGTGGCTGTCTCTGGTGAACAAGAGCCTTTGGGTTCCATTAAAAAGACGGAGAATTTCTCGACAGGAAATACTCACAAACGCACACAATATCACGAAACACTTCCATCCTCAGTGAAGAAATGCTTCTGAAGATCGTGAATTGTGAAGTTTTGTCATATAACCTCACAAAAATAATCTTGACAGTTAAAAAAACTTTGTCTTCACAGTGACGTGAACACAGATCGACACATTGACGTTTTTCGCCAATTTTTCTGTCCTCCAATTAATCTCGGCCACTTTGTCAACTATGAACTCCGACCATCGCTATACGTAAAAAAGCGAACGGGGGTTTAGTATTCTTGTACGTGTATTCATTGACCATATTAGTTTGCGTAAAGAGTGCCTTGAAGATGGACTAATAAGTCCGAAACATGTCGCCTAAGAGAATGAACGCAGAGACATGTGATAAATGAGTGCATTTCAGCATAAATTTACAAATATTGTGTGTTGAAAATCATCCATTTAATGTTTTAACCCTTCGAAGCCGAAGCTCGTCTAAATAGCATTTAATAATCCAGTCCGTACCGCGAAGAAAACACAACTCGTCACCATTACAAAGATCAATTGGTTAACGCTGTTTAAGGAAATAATCGCTGTTTAATGCGGAAGTCATACGAGACACATAAATGACTGTTGAAGCTTATGAAAGACGTAATAACGAAGGCCTCGAGGGTTCAGTAATTGTCCTGATGGCAGTGTTCTGTCCGTATTCCTGTAGACTAAACAGCACAGCAACATTCCGGCCAGCTGGATCTTGATTCGTTAAAAAAACGCAAAAGAAAATGTTTACTGTACTCTGGTATCACACTTCCCAAGGAATTTTCTTAAACTGAGAGTACATACTGTGTTTTTGAAACGTCCTCGTGTCGAGGTCTTGCTTAAAATATACAGCTTCTTCATTAAAAGTGTAATCTCATTGTACAGTAAAGCCATCTGTTTGAAGAAGACTCAAGTTCTCTTGTTTATGATGTTCTTTTTTCAATTTTGCTTCTGTATTTAATCAGCCTTCGAATGGTACTGCGTCGAATCCCTGTCGAGTTAATTTATACTTATTACACGATGCTCATTTCATGGTTAGATTGACTGTTCATGTAGCATGAATCGGAAATATACAAAATGCATTTTGGCCTAAAACTTGTAGGGAAGAAACCACTCGAAAGACATTTGTGTAGATGGGGTGATAATATTAAAAGCAATCTTAAGGAACATCTTGCGAACGTGTTCATGAAATTATTGATCTCCAGACGGTGGGAACCTTTTTTTGCTCTTCTGAGCTACAGACAGCTTCTGTGGAAGGAATTTGCATCTCAGAGTGGGTTCTTGCTCGTGTTGGCGTACAGACCGAAGTACTTCTTCCCGCTCAACACACCTGAAGACAGGTGAAACCTCTCATCACACTTTGCATGACAGCCCGGTAACCTTGGTCTGCATTCTGCTGCGGACTGTACAGTCCCTCGTGACGTAACAAGCGAGAACAGGTTTAAAACCACGTGACCTAATAAAAACCAACCTTTGCGTGGACAACAGGAAAACAACTTCCACCGCCATCTTGGACTTTATCATCTTGTGTGCTTGATTAATGCGTGAAAGACCAGTGGTAACTATACGTACCACCTGCTTTTACAACTCAGCATTTTAGTATGTATGGGTTTCGTGAAACATTATTTCCTTAAACAGCGTTAACCACGTGATCTTCGTAATGGTGAGGCGTTGTGTTTTCTTCGCGGTACGGACTGGATTCTTAAAAGTTCGGGAGACATAAAATTCTTCCTACTCCAGCCATGTTGGATCCTTTGTACTGTTAAATAAATAAGTCACAAATGCCACTGCTGTAATATATACGGCTCTGACGTCACTAAACTGTTATCTTTCCTGTGCGAATTTAATATTATATCCTGCATATTCCGTCGAATTGAAGCCCGACGCTCGTCTAAATATCATTTAACGAAAGAACAGATAAGCACAGCGGTTCGATTTTGCTGTCAGGCGTAGATTTTCCTCCGTGTGTGCTGGAAATGCATCTGTCTGTCAGCGAGCACAGATTTTCACTTTCTCCTTTATCAGTCGCTTGTAACGAGACACAGTTCGGCAGTCTCTTGTTTTGTATCTCACGGGCCGGTCACGTACCGAAAGCTATGCGGAACACCTTGAATTCGTCCAGTGGCGGACTGGCATGTGTAGGTTCGTGGGTTATTTAACTCTGCCACATCAGCTGCTGGGGTTTTTTTTATGGCGAACTGATGAGGGCGTGGTCTGTTGCAAGGAAATTGGGATTTTTCGCACTTACGAGTTTATTTATATGAACATGTGTGTCGTAAGCGTTGCCATGGCAATGCTTTTACCAGCCAACAGGTTATTCAGCCCATCCTCTGTCGCTTGTGACTGCACTGGCGATGGAATTTGTTATCTGCGTCTCCGTCTACCAAGATTACTTCCTCCTTCATGACGTTCAGGTGAATCAGGGATGTGTGACATCACTGGCCACATGTGGCCCTTGGAAAGTTTGTTTTTAGTGTTGTGATCAAAGTTAATCAAGGGGAGGGCGGAAACTAGGAAGGAGAAGCTCGCAGAGTGTTTTGACGAGATAACAGCAGTTGCATACAGGATAACTGAGAAAACTCCGTGTGTACCGACCATTACTAGGAGAAGGTTTAATAGTACTCGTATCAGCATGAAGATGGAGGCAGCAATTACCTCCGAAACAGCTATCTTCAGACTCACCGCCGTGAGAACCTCAAATATTCTACATCAACACGTACATATTTGGGAGGTCCCTGGTTCAAATATCGGTTTGGAGAACTGTTATCCTGACTGAGAGTTTAATGATTTCGTTGGTAAATGTAGGCGTCGTTAAATAAGTAAATCTAACACAAGCGTTAATTCCGCGTTACTTCAATCCGAGTTAAACAAAAAACACGACGAAGTAATTAAGTCAGATGTAAGACAGTTATGAATTGTTCAAGGCCGGGTTCAAGAAAGGCGAGGAGAGTGTGTCCAGTTGGTGAGCACTCAGCCCGGTAACACGGTTTCCTTTCTGATTCATTACGAAAATGCTCGCTGTTTCTGTCGTCCCACGTGTAACAAATATGGCGGGACGGTAGACGCGTGCGAGGGGATGAGAAATTAACAAGCAGAGAGCACCAAATTTCATCAGAAAGAGACGAAATTCTTGAAGGAACTCAAACTGGCGCGAAATGCAGTGAACTGTTTCATCGGCCGGATATGCGTGGCGATGTTTGTATCTATAAACCACGGAAACATTTTTAATTATCTACAGTTATGCCAACTTAAAGAATACAAGATTTCTTCACGATCCAGAGAACCAGTTCCATCCTCACGACCGATCTACCTTCCCGAAACTGGAGACAGAAACAAAACACAATTTCATGTAAATATTTATTGCAACAGATACAGCAAGTGTCTAGCTATTTTTCAACATATTCGCCACCGGATTTGAGACATTTGTCATACCGTGGGACCAACTTTTGAATACCTGTGTCGTAGAAGTCTGCCGCCTGGGATTGGAACCACTGTGTGACAACCATCTCCGCCTCTCTTTCATTCTCAAAACGCTGACGCTGACCGGACAGGAATTTCTTGAGGTGTAGGAAAAGATGGAAATCACTGGGAGCGAGGTCCGGGCTGTAGGGTGAATGATTAAACACCTCCCAGCTGAACTCCTGCAGGAGACTTGCTGTCCGTCGAGCCGTGTGCGGCCTAGCGTTATCACTGACCGCACTTCACAGTCGGCGGGAGCTGGAATAAGAACCTCCATCTTCAACAGCTGCAACGATGCTACTGTGAGAACGCGGGAGGTGCCGTTAGTGCATGCGCCATGCTACGGCATTGCTCTATCACGCACGCACAGTCGCTTCGCGCAATATAAGGTTTGCTAGCTGTGGGACGAGTGGGAAACTTACTTTTGGGACGCGCCTCGTACAAAAGTTCTCGAGTCATATAGACAGCTGTGTTATGTTATCCTGCGTCAGAAGGAGAAGTCGTCAAATCGCAGTCAGGAACAAGTGACTTGGGACAAACCCTGTCCGACCCTAGGACCATTTGGGGCGCCCATTCCTGGCCCCGAGCTTCAAAAACGAAGCCCCGGGTATTTACGATCTGCCCCGACTGTCTTTAATCCTTGAATTTTTTTTTCGCTCTAAAAGCTTATGAGTTCATTTCGGCGCTTGGGGAATTGCAGGAAGATGTCCGCTTGCGATGTTTTCTACGACTTGTTTCGTGAACCCGACTTATCGCGAGCAAAAGATGTCCCGAGAAATCCCCAAATTCTGTACGAAGTTTGGTCGATATCCTTCGAACCGGGAGGCGAACTTTGTCTGTGTTCCCAGTTCCAGGATCGTCTCCCTCGGGGGTGGGGTTAGACCCGGAAAATCTTGCCCCAGTGTTACTTTAACCATCGCAGATGAACACGGACTGACCCACGATGTAAAAGAGACGACGGTGCTTAATTCCCCCGCGAGGGTCTGAGAAAAACCACGCACCGCGCCAGGACTACCAGAACCGAATTTATTTATTATTTATTTGTAGTGTTCTGTCTGACGACAGGTCCATATGAACAGGATCCTTCCATCCTTTTCTCGGACTGGGACCTGTTCATATACGTTCTTGGCAGATGATCCAGAAGTG